TCTCACATCGTATCCGATATCTCCTCTAACACTACTAGGTCCTTCCATCGGTTTGACCACCGGCGTCCAGAGCTATCACTTTATATTCCTTTACCTATTTGCCGTGACAAAAATAGCTTCTCTTAATTTCGATTCATCACCAACTAGTGTTATCTTAATTTACAAGTAATTGATATCGAGCCGAAACATCACCTACGCACGTCTATATATCAGAGAGAATAACCTCGACACGAAAAGTTTATATCCGAAAACTACATACAGTGCTGCCATCTCTCTAATCTATGATCGCTGAGAGAATTTGAAAAATACTATATGTCATTTAATGTATTCAGTCAGATCATTGATACTGTGCATGCATTTCAAACTTTAGAAAGACCAGTTTAGAAAGCGTCGAGATGGCAACACTGCGCGGACGCAGCCAACGGAACAATATTTTACTCCTTTTCGGAGTGTCGGATTATGATGACTATTTATTTTATTTCATTACTTAAAATCAGTCTCATAAAGAAAAGAAACTATTTTCTTTTACAATTATTTTTGAGAGGTTTCTTCTATATATATTTACCATGACATATTGATTGATGATATTGAATTACATTAAATTTAAGCTTTATTATTTAGTAAAACATTTATCAGAGCTTATTTAATTCCGCTCCCCGGTGAATATGCGGTCGACACAAGGTCAACGCCACATTTTATACTACCGATTGCACACAATATTGAGTCTAACATATCTAAAATAATATATAAAAAATTGATATCGATAGCCTTCACTACCGAGTGTCGAGGGCAACACTAACGAAACAGTAGGCTCCGATTTCAGCTTATCCTAACTTGGCCCTAAGCTAATAAATTTCAACTAAATAGATTTTATAATAAATCGCCAAATGTCACATATAAAACGTCAGTGCTACAAATACAGAGAAACAACATGAGTGGCAGTAGCTCGAGGTCAATAATATTACCATATTTGTGATATTTGCGTTTTACAAAATACGCATTGCGGTCGTACACTTTTCATACAGATACGCAACTCACTAATACTACAAGTTAAACAATTCGATCATCGGTTAAAGTGCCCGAGACTCCCGAGAGCGACAGAAACAGCGCATGGAAATTCTTTACACAATGAAATCGATATATAATTATTACAAATAGCAGATCTATAGATTTTCGTTGACACTCTTCGAGATCACCGTTCAATCTTCTCTAGTCCTCGGGCTAGTCCTCGGGACGAACGATGATTTTGAAATAAATTATAACATTCGAACGACGTTAAACAATAAGATCAACACAATATCGATATCCAGATCGACGACGACGGAACAATACAGCTGCATTACAAAAGTCGTTCGTTCAATAGAATTCCACGTCCTCGTTCAGGAGCATCACCGCGAGTGACAGATGAAAAAGATGTATACAAACATGGTCAAATGTGTGTAGAGGAGATTCATGCTCAAAACAAGGACGCGAAACTTCCACATAATATTATCAGAGATTGAAACGAGTATTGCTGCCTGCTGCATCGGCGCGCCCGCCTGCGGGGCCCGCTTACACGTAGGTGGGGGGCTGCGCGCCGGGCGTGGGGGCGGGGGCGGGGGCGGCCGCGGGGGGCGCGGGGGCGGCGGCCGGGGGCGGGGGCAGCACGCGCGCGCCCGGCACGTACTGGCCGATGAACGACCCGTCCTCCGTGAACCGACCTATGCCGGCAACGTAAACAGATTAGGAATATCTTCATAGTGGAGTAGAGACAGAAAACAATTGTTATTTGTACACCAATTTTTAACGATTATTATCAGTCGTTATTGAAACATATTTGTGCCGATAAAAATACGCGTCGGGGCTTTTCTTCATTGCCACAACGCGTTGAGGTCGAATAGCATGTCGGTCACGACAAGGATTTCGCTATGTGCTCATTCTGTGATTGCTACAATGCGTTGTGAGCGTTTCCATTAGAGCTAGAACACGAATAACACCATGTGGATATTTTACTGTGACCCCAACGCGTTGTGAACTATTATTTCCGTCAATGAGCGATTTCGATCGTTTAAACATAACTTTGTCCTTTATTCAGTGTGCAATAATGAAAAATATGGTATCGTTTAATAATGATACCACGTTATTCATTAGAATTTCAGAAAGGGATAGATTAGGATATAATTTCAATGTTTACAATATAGTAACGGTATCAGGTTTACGGCACAGTAAATATTATAATGAATCGTACTTAAGGTTACACAACAATTTTAGACAACATCACACACATTGCTCAAATCTCAAATTAAGCAGTTAAATCGTTTAAATAATATAAATCTGAAACAACGAATGTACACCCAACACAACAACCACTCTTAAGGTTAGGAACAACCACTCTTAAGGTTAACCGATGGCGTAGCTCTCGACTTTCACAAGTGCTTGTAACAGCCTAGACTGAATAAATGATTTTGATTTTGATTTTTGATTTTGATGATTAAAAAAGTTACTTTTTTACATTGATCCGTTCAAGAATCGAACCCGTGCCGAGGCCCAGAAATAACCAGACTTTTATATCGGCGTGTGAACGACTCTGTCACTGACGTCGTCAATCAATATATATGTGTCTTTTTAATGGTATCAAAACCCTAAGTAAAACTTGTTGGATATAAAATTTACGAAATCAAAAAAGTTAAATTAATTGGCTGCTTGATAGTTATAACAATAGTTTATTAAAATATGTTGGAAATTGTAACTTGTATGAAAACGATAATTAAGTACGTAGTAGTTTTTATTTAAGCAATATTATTTTGTAATTTTATTTGTGCACTACAAGAAACGCGACAAAAAGGGGAGCATCGTGTGACGTCACATTTCAATATACTGAACGTTAACAAAGACGATTGAAATGCGACGTCACGGCCCGACATGTCACGTGACTGTTTGTTTTCGCGGGACAATTTAAATTATTTTTTTTAAAGACTTCCCAAAACAGTCCAGCAGCCATTTATATCATGTATTTATGTTGACAGACAGCAAAAATAATGTAAAGGGCTAATAAAAACAAAGTTTAAAAATACATATAACAGACATTCTAGTATCAGTGGAATGTTTACTATAGACAAGATAACTGATTGAGAAAAAACATGCAAAAAAAATACATACCTCACAATTATCAAACGTAAGCGTTGCTCGTGCATAGAAAAATGAAAGGAAAGGAGCATGGACGATAATAAGGAAAACTATCTATTCTACATAATGCATAACAAACATGTATATAAATAAAAACAAAGCACGTGAAAAACACTCAATAAAGAAAATTCACTCAAAATAATCACTCATAGTTATTTGTTTTTACAATCTAAAACTAATTACAAATTATATTTTTCTCTTGTATGTACTTAGCTGCTAAACTAATTTGTAAATACGTGAAATATATTAAAACGGGACGAGTGACATTAGGCTTTATATGAACTATTATCGAAATAGTTAAATAAAGACCCTGGACGTCCGGCACATCCAACACTGGCAGTTACAGTTCACTTAAAATTTAATATCATAAACCTAACCGATATTACACCTCTACAGTATCACCAACGGCGACCGAAACATCAGCATCATACATATCAGGAAAAGCGACTCGTGCTTTAGCAGCAACGAGAGACTACGATAGTGCCGTCTCATTTCAATAAGTCGACTTGTTTGCTTTCGGATCGCGTTTTCATAAAACGGACTTCGAGTCCCCAAACTGTTTCTAATCTACTGATCGCTCATATCATGCACATGAACTATCGTATATCAGTATTGTGACTACCGGAAACGTCGTACTACCCCGTATAACATTTCCGGTAAACTTATAGCAGGTGCTCGTTGGACGTTTTCGGAGCAACCTTGTATTTTTAAACACAAAATTGGAACAATTTTGACACACCGCAAGTCTTCCGCAATCTGTACCGCACTAATATCGCTCGAAATTGAGTTATTTCGACCGATCATTCGACACCAGACCGGGACGAATCGATGGCACTACGTGAACGAGAGCGAAAGCGTCGCTTTACATGCTATTTTAACGATGGCTGAAAGCGGAAAACGCGAACCGATTTAACGGAAACGGCTAGCTTCGCTTTTTTTAGAGTGATTTATTTCCGGGCTCGGGTATCGGAAAACGTACCATCTACGCGAGTAGACGACGTTTCATTAGCCACTGTGTGGCGGGTAGGAAGCGTCGGTGAGAGGTGGGGGCCGGGGGGTGGGGGGGTGGGGGCGGTTATACGAGCGTGGCGAAGGCCTGCGAGGCGGAGTCCGGTTGCGCGGAGGGCGGGGGCCGCCGCTTGCGGCCGTACTGGCCGATGAACGACCCGTCCTCGTTCATGCCCGCTACAACACACGCACACGTACACGTACACGTACACGTGCATGCACACACATACACACGCACACCCCTACTCGATACTATAGTCCGTGCGGTCTTTTACGATGACTGATCATTTTCGTTGAACAACATTTTTAAACAAAAACAGGGAAAGATGTCTGAGATTGGTATTTAAAGTTTGGCAGTGCTCGCGATTCTGTTGCAAAAATGTTGAACGATGGTCTCGAGAGTGCATATAGAGTTAAAAAGAGATACGAAATCGGGAGCCCTATCCAGATATAGATAGATAGAGGATCCAGATATAGACAATTATGCCCAAAGTCATTTTTGATCGGTGACGTATGTGTTACTTGAAATAATAAAAGAATAATGTACTGTCATATCACGTCACAGCAGAATATTTAGAATTTGTTAAACATAGATAGACTTAAATTTAAAGTACCGTTCAGACAGCTTCCCCGATTTAGTGATGGAAAACTTTAATAAATAAAATTATAAAACTGAAAATACTATTTAGAAGCGATTATAAAATAATCATGTCATTACGAATAGAAAGCTTCGACAAAAACAAAATATTTCTTTAAATTTTCCATGTCCAGAAACAAAATGAATGCAACTAGAAAATTGATACTAATTTCCAATCAAATAATGATTATTAAAAATTAAAATAATAGTACGCAAATTTCTCAAAACATATGCAGCATTCCAGCAAAGAAACAAAAATTTTCGGACTACCGTTCTTGTCGTAAAGGAACGGAGTCCGATTGGCTTCGGGAGCAAGGAGCGAAGGTTCATATTTACCGGTTTCACCTTCACCGTATTCGGCCATGGAATCGGTATCACTTTCCGGTCCAGGTTTAGTGCCGCTGCTCATCGAATGTCGGGATTTGTTGTCCAATCTACAAAAAACAATATCAAAAAATTAATTAGACTAATTGCCATACAGTACAATGCCGGGCGATTCGCACGCCGTACGTCTACGGAATCGTATTGAACACCTTATACTTATTGAAATAGGACTGATCATAAATACTTCCGATCGTCCTCGGAGTCGGGAGCTCATGGAGGACATTAGGTGGGTCTGATGTGGCACTAGCGCGCGCACGCGTACTGGCCGGGGCGGGTGCATACGTACGGCGTGGTGTACTCGTGGAAGCCGCCGTCGGTGTAGTCCCGCCGGCCGTGCGCCATCTCGCGGTCGTGCACGTCGTACTTGCCGCCGCGGTTGCGCCGCACCACGCACACCAGCACCAGCACCAGCAGCAGGAACGCCAGCGCCAGCATCACGCCGATGAACCACCCCGCCGTCGCCATCTTGTCGTCGCGCATTATCACCGGCCCGTCTGAGAACGATCGAACGAGTCCGCATCAGCACGGTCGACCGTCGGGCCGTCGTCGCGCGCGGCGGGTCGACGCGCCACTCACCGATGGTGGTGTCCACCTCGCGCACCTCGCTGGTGGAGAAGTACTCGCCGTCGTGCGCGGTGAGCTTGAGGTCGTAGAGGCGCGCGGGCTGCAGGCCGGTGATGACGACGTAGTCGTCCTCGGTGACGTCGGCGGTGCGCAGCCAGGCCGCGTCGCCGCGCAGCCGGTACCAGGCCACGAAGTGCGTGCCGGCGCGGCCGTCCAGCGCGGGCAGCCACTGCACGCGCACGTGCGCGGTGCCGCCGCCGCCGGGCAGCGCGAGGGCGCTGAAGGCGGGCGCGGCGGGCACGGCGGGCGCGGCGGCGCGCGTGCGCTGCTGCACGTAGCGCTGCTCGCCCTCGCCCGCCTTGGTCTTGGCGCGCACGAACACGCGGTACGCGGTGTCCGGCTCCAGGCCCGCCAGCTTGGCGCGCTCCAGCTTCGGGTCCACCTCCTTGCGCCGCTCCTGCATCGGCCCGAACTCGGTGCCGACCACCTTCCTGTACTGGATCTTGTAGCCGGTCAGCACGCCGTTCTCCTCCATCGGCTTGTCCCACTTGAGCAGCAGCGCGGAGGAACCTGCGATGACGATTCGTGACTTGGGACCGTCCCTCGGCTGGGATCGAATATAACGAACGGCCGATGCGTCCCGCCTTTTTTTTTTTTAATAATATTCCCGTTTTAAAGTTCCGATTCGCAGAAGTATTTATTATCTAAAACGTTAAAAAACTAAATTGTTTCAAAAATTACAGGCGGGAGATTTCGGCCCTTCACCGAACACCGACGACGACGACATCTATTTTTTCTTTTCCTGGAGGTGGGAAAAATACCAAGTCGGTGGGTCCACAATTCGTTATAAGCACCAAACATCAGAATGATTTGCCCGACCGCATCTGAGGTCGTCGAGGATGAGTATGCTGTACCTATCGGATACGCTTCCAGACTCCGGACGCTGCCCGGTTTCCCCTCGGGCGTGACGAAGCTCAGGACGTCGCTCGGGGGCCCGTTGTACCGGCCGTTGTACGCGAGTATACGAACGTTGTTCTTCTTGAACGGTCTGAACTTGGTCACCAGAGCCTGCGTGGCGTCCGCTTTCACCAGAATCTCCTGCAGAATGGAAACTTTTATTCGCCCGATATTATGTACGATCGCAAGAATGTAAACTCATCACCTAAACACTCCGATGATCAATCGGAAACTTGAACATCGACGGAATAAAATTTAAGATAGATTGGAAAAACTCGGGAGGACCGAACACTGGAGGAACCGGCGGATATCGTACCGCCCGTACATAATATTAAAATAAGCTGTAATATTTTACAACTTTAATTTTGAATCATACATAATACATAAATTGTTTTAGAAAATATTTTAAGGAACAATAATTAAAGTGCAATCTGGAACACATGCTACAAAGTCCGTTCAGAGGTACGCCATTTATACTTGGACAATAGGATCCGCACGCAGAGATCGAAGAAAGGTTTTCTCGCGCTGAAAGCTTTTCTGAAAATTTCATCGTTCGTTTTCATCGAATAGGCTTGAAAGGTATTGAACTAATTACGGGAAACTAAATTATGTGCGGTTGGACATAGGTTATAATTTAAATATATGGGAAGATAATTCATATCCTCCGGATATAGATTTATAATTTACACGGGCCAATAAACAGGGCGGTTTAATAAAAAGTTAGTTTCATATAAACGTCACTTTCATCATTATTCAGTTTCTTATTCAACCTTCAATAAGGCTCGGAACGTAGTATTATAGAGTTGTACTATAGTTTGTTCCATTCCAAGTGGGGAATTATGTAAACAAATAACACACCGAAACTATTTATTGAGTTTTCGAACCGAGCCGAATCTGTTTTGTTATCTTCAGGTAATACAACGCCATTTTAAAGAAAAAAGCAGTAAAATCAGTTTTCACGAAATAATAAATTCTCAACTAAAATTGATGTATAATAAACAGCTCGAAAAAAGAACTAGACATATTGGAATAATTGATAAAATAAATATATAATGTGAGATGGGAGTGGGGGGTACCTTGGGGCGGTCCTCCTCGCCGTCGGTCCAGGTGTGGATCTTGTACCCCTTGAAGCGGCCGCGCAGACTACTGGGGGGGACGGGCCGCCAGCTGAGCAGCGCGGAGGTGCCGGAGGTGAGCTGCAGCAGCGTGAGGTTGCCGGGCGCCTGCAGCGGCACGTCCTCGCCCGACCAGCCCGCCACCTCCAGCGGCGTCACGTTGCTCGTGCCCAGCGCGTTCACCGCCACCACCTGACAGGTGCGATTAGAATAACAATGCAGCGGATTCTTACAACCGAAACGAAATGTACCTAATTCGTAGATATGAATAAATAAAAGTATACATGAATTAATGAAATAACAAATGAAGGAAGTAAAGACGAATTAATGTATTAATTATGTTTAATAATTTAACAAATAAATAAAATAATTATTAAATGAACGCAGAAAAAATATTACTAAATAAATTAATGTATTAAGTTTATGGTATATTCGATATATCAATAAAATAACTATCAAATGTAGCAATAATAATTAACTAAACCAATATTTTTATAAGTAAAGATGGCGTCACTTGTAAAAAAAAATTATTTGTAACATCTGACTTGCATTGAATAAATTAAATTGAAACATTTAACACTTGAAAGGGCCAATTTTTTTTTATTATTATTAAGATTTTTAGTGTCAAATAAAACAGAAAGACTGACCAGCAACGTAATAAATTTTCAAAACAAGAGTTAATCTTATACAAAAAAAAAACATACTCCCTTAAAACTCATCTCATATTTCTTATCTAAAAATAAATAAACCTTCAAACGTTTGTTTAACATAACTCGATATGTATACGGAGGCAGTTCGTTCGTTCTTTACCTTGATGCGGTAGGGCTCGAAGGTGGGCGTGTTAGGCACGAGCAGCTCCGTCTGCTGCCAGTCGCGCAGCTGCGCCTCCTCCCACGGCTGCCCGGGAATGTCGCGCCGCCACGACACCAGGTAGTAGAACCCGGGGCCGTTGTGTTCGATTTGTGGCATTTTCTAACATACATATATATTGACACGTATTTATTTCACATTAATTCGGTTTTCTTGTTGTAATATCGGCGATGACGGGTGATAATTAGACATTATTTTATGATTGCGAGGGGAATTAATTCAACATTAACTATTTTGCGTTTAGATATACAGGTGACACAGTTGAAAGATGAGACTCTTGCAACGACACGGTTTTAGTTAATGTTATCGATCACGTAACTGTTACTATAAATCTACATTACATTAATAATGACATATTTATGTTAATGTCGTTCGTGAACCCGTTCCTGTTGTCGACTAAAAGATATCCTGAATCACAATTGAGGAGTTAACAATCTTGGACAGCTAGCTCTAAACGGCTTTGAATGAATTTATAAAAAAAAAACTTTTTTCTCTAATAATATGATACTGACCGACCAGGAGATGACCATGTTATTGGGCTCGGTTCCCTTCCCCTCAACGTTGTCCGGGTTCTTGTACGGCACGTCCGGCTCCGTAGTGCACACGTCCGAGTGCGCGGACGGCAGGGACGGACCAATCTTGTTCCATGCTATCACTCTGTTACAAACATATTTCGGAGTTTTAATATAATCATTAACATTTAACATACACATTGAAATTAGCATTTCAGATGATTCCAATTATGTACACACACGGTACGTGTAATAAAATGTACTTTTAATAAGCGGACGCGGTATGCTGTCCATTGCACTGGCGAGAGGGGCGCGGCCCAGGCGGGCGCGTCGTCACGTGTGTAGTGTAGTGTAGTGTAGTGTACTGACCGGAAGGTATAGTTAGCCCAGGGCGAGAGGGGCGCGGCCCAGGTGAACACGTTGGCGGGCACGTCGTCGTTGGCGGTGTCCCACGTGTGCGGGGTGAAGCTCGTGTTGTACTGGATGGACCAGCGCAGCAGCGACGCGCGGTTGTCGCCCTTCGACGTCCACTGCAGCGTCGCTATCAGTCCTTTGCATTTGATGCTGTCCAGCTGCGGCTGGTTCGGCTTGTCTGCAGATATCAAATAAAATCATAGCGTTTCCTTCGCAACGGCCCGTTTGCGGTTCGGTATGTGTGTATGTGTGTGTATATAACCTTGCACGGTGAGCCGCGCCTGCGCGCGCGCCTCGTCGACGGGCGTGCGCGCGATGCACGTGTAGTCGGCGGAGTCCAGCTCGCTGGTGTCGGAGATGAGCAGCGAGTAGTCGTTGGTGACGCGGTACCGCGGCTGGTTGTCGAAGTCGATGGGCTGGCTGTCGATCAGCCACACGATCTCCAGCTGCAGCGACTCGTCCGCGTTGGCGTTGCACCGGAACGTCGCCGAGGACCCGGCGGGCACCTCGTAGTTCTCCGGTTTGTCCGTGATCACGGTGCGCTCTGTGGACGGTTCACGATTCATCGTTCATAATTGTCCGCGTTCGAGATCTGAACTTACGAAACGTACGACACCGATGTCGACTCACTTTTGACCGTGAGCGATCCGTACGCGGACTTCTCCCCGAACTTGTTTTTCGCGTAGCACTGGTAGGCGCCCATGTCGGTGAACGACACGTCGCGGATCACCAGATCGCCCTCCGCGGTGATGTTGTATCTGCGTACAGATCGAATGTCACTATCGAGCTTAACGAAATCCATTTTGCATTAATATTCAGCTAGAAATGCGGTCGACGCCGGTCATAATTAAGAAAAACCGCCCTCCGCTGTCGAAACGGCTCCGCCTTTTCTCTTCCCCTCCTTACTACGTATTCTATCTTTGCCGACATTAGTCGTTAACGTCACACATGTCTTTGATTTAGAAAGTCAAAATAAACTCATTAAAAATACTTTTGAAGCTTATATTTGATCAATTTTGAATTCACAATGCTGCACTGAAAAATATTCATAATGAAAAAAAAATGCTTAATAATCCACTTTATCCGTTGCAGTCTTGAGATGGGATTCGAACGCATGACCTATCGCAATCCCCGGCAGTTTAAACTGCTCGTAGTTTGGTACACTGGAGATATGACATTTAAATTAAAATAGAATTTATGAGTAATTAATTATTGTTCAATTACCCAAATCGATTAAGTAATCATTATTGTAAGTATAATATAATAGCCTTTTTTAATAATCATACAGTTTACCAAATTATTATTTTTTTGCACTTAATAATCATTATTTTCAAGACTTTTCGTCTTAATAAAAAGTCGAAATAATGTTGACAAATATTTACATAGACTTTATTCTGAAGCAATAATGATCGTTATAAAATATATTTAACCCTTTTTTTAATCAGACGCTTATTCCCTATTGCTGATTCGAATATTTAAATTTCTCAGCACAATATTCTAAAGCTATTAATTAGAATGAAGCAGACTTGTTGCGCGTGGAATATTTATACCCTCTTCAATATTAATATCTGACCGTGTTGAACACGGTATATCATGAGGGTGAAGAGAAAAGATTATTCATAAATGTCATTAAACATAAACGTGTCGGTGGATAAAGGTCAAAGTGATATAGAATTTATTAACGAGAACTTATAGACCGATTAAATTTTTTGTTGTTTTAGAAGGTGAAAATTTTGGTTACCACTCATGAAAAAAAAAACTAAAAAAAAAAAAATAGAACCGACTTCAAAGTTTAAAAAGTGATAAATAATACTTATCCCAAAAGCGACTTATTCAAGAAAATACTATTAAAGTCGGGCGGAGGTCTTCTGTAGATTTATTAATTAAATGATAGGTACCAGACATCAACAACATTTTCTTGAATAATCTATTTTATAAATTCTTCAAACACTAAAGGGCCCAAAATATTGTGTACAATTGTCTGCATGATGACAATACAAGAACTCACTTGCCGCCGGTGAGGTCGACGTCGTCTCGCATCCACCTGACGATCGGTTTGGGTGCTCCGAACACGCGGCACTTCATCACTGCCTCCGAGCCGTCCACCTTCGTCAGATTCTCGGGTCCCTCTTTTATTTCAGGAGGGATCGCTGTTGGTATAGTGAAAAATTTAAGTATCTATTAACGATAAATTTAATAGTTTAATCAAATTTACATATTTGAAACACCAAGAATTCAAATACCTTTAAGGATCAAATTCATTGCGTGCTATCGAAAGGTGATGTCAGAAGCCATAAAGTCTCGACCCGCATGTGTATGAATAGTGCTATGAAAAATATATCGTCGAACACAGCTCTGTGTTATCTACTACTACAATTTGTTAAAAATGAATTCCCCTTTACAATGTTTATATTGTCTACACTTTAAGTTGTCAATTAAAATCATCGATGAGGTTCCGTATCTTGCTAAATCAATAATTCCAGAACATAAAAGTTAATATTTAAATATACTATAATAGGTATGGTTGAACTAAGCGATAGCTGGTTCATGCGTCAGGCTCGTGAACGGCTGCTGCCAGTGGGGATGATTCTGCTCTGGTCTACATAATTTCGTTCATTTTCTTCTATTATGAATACTGTGTGTCAGTTTTATTATCAATGAATTTATATGACACGGCATATTGACAGAAAAACGGAAAATAAAATCTTTTTTTGTAATTTTTATGTAATGGAAAGTAACTTCATATTCTAATTAAGTCACTTTTTAATGATAATTAGACGTCTCTATACGTATTAAAACAGGGAGAAAAACCTACCCTTGCTAAATTTCTTGTCGGTTCTTCTCAGTACAAGGTCTACCGCCGTCGATTTACGAACCGATGGCATAGCTTTCGAAATTCACAAGTGCTACAAGAACAAGTGCACAAGTAATTTGAATGTAAGGATTGTGATCTAAATAATACAATTGACACTAAATATAAAGAAGCATCCTACAATCTAATCCAAATCTGCATCATTTTTAACATTTCATTTTTTAATATATCTATTTCCATTCTCCGCGAGTATATATCAAAATGGTTGGTCACAAGTAAAAGCTAGTTAAACTAGAACGGTGGATAAGCAACCACATCCGGACATTTAGGACAGTGTAGTGTGGAGTGGGCGAGTGATGGCGCACCACGCCGGCACCGGCACTGAGGATGTGCCCAATAGACAGACGCCGTCGACGGACACACAATACACAAACTAACACAAAGTAAAATATTACATTTGAAAGTGCATCATGTCCTTGGCACGTGTAATGATATAACACCCAGTATATAATAAAACGACTCTTGTATAGACACATGTTTTGTATGTGCGATCGATTCGGCTATCTTTTATAGGTATTCGTGAAAGTCCAAGGATGGTCATTCATGTAGAGGAAATTATAGAATAGTAGAAAAAAACAACACCTTTCTTTTCTCTTAGAGTCTATCTGTTTGCAGGAATAAAAAAGGAATGTATGTAATGCGTATCTCAGCCAAAACAAAAACCACGATAACGTGCAGACGCATGAAGCTGCAGCCTGGTGACGCTGGTCTTCTCTTTAAGGAGCTTCGTGACCTTAAATTTGTGAAACTAAAAATGTACAAAGACTGACACATGAACGAATATCGTCGGTTCCGCTAGCTGATAATGAATGCCTTTTCAAGATGATCGATGAAGAAGATGTGGATCTCGAATTTCTTAATTGTCTTATCAAAATGTATGGAATAAGAAATCATACGTACCACGTAATAACGTACACAATTTCAAATCAGTGCACGTTATTATGCTACAACAAAAATAATATGGTTATAAATACTAATTAAGATCCACAAAGCGTCACAAATGCAATATGCGACAGTGTGGTCACGTCACCGCCGCTTGGCCCGATTGCTAAACGGTTGACAATGACTAATTGTCAAGGACAACTTTAAGTGGACATCGACCAGTTACAGTCATCTTACATAACACCAATTTTACTGCTATTACTGGACGATATGATATTAAACTCAGAACAAGAAGATACACAGAAGATATAAATCTATACTAATATTATAAAGCTAAAGAGTTTGTTTGTTTGAACGCGCTAATCTCAGGAACTACTGGTTTGAATTGAAAAATTATTTTTGTGTTGAATAGACCATTTATCGAGGAAGGCTTTAGGTTATATAACATCACGCTGCAACTATTAGGAGCGAAGAAATAATGGAAAACGCGGACGAAGTCGCTGGCGGCCACTAGTAACCAATATATCCTTTTCGTTATTAATTTCCACATTTGGTTCAATGCAAAATTCATTGCCTAGAATCATCATCGAGCTCAATTATTAATTGACAACTTGTTTTTGTGACTCATTACATTAGCAATGATGTCTGGATGACGTTAGTTCTTGTTCCTGCATCAACAAATCCTTTTTATAATTTACAGTGCTCAAATAACTTTGTCATAGAAAAATGACAAGAATCCTATCACTAATATTCATGAGATGTCTGTCTGTTACGATTTCACGTCTAAAACAATTTAAAATAAATACAATATGAGTGACCTTTTGAAAGGATAAGTTACCTTTTATCAACAAAAATAAGAGTTGAAATTAGGGAATGTATGAAAGAGTTTGTATGGAACCTCGTTCTTGTTCAAAATACAACTACGGAACTTTGTGTTTAGGCATTTGATATGAAATAATTAAACGAAATTAAATAAAGATCTGAAAATACGTCATAAATCTGTAAACTACGGTAGTTTATGTGTATTATTTTCACAAAGTCGCCTGTGTAAAATTTAACGAATTTATTTAGATACGTAACTAGTGTTCTCGGGAGATATCCCTTATACTATTCTATCGATCAGTGCCGGCTTCGTTGGCATCTTAATAGCTTTGCAATGTACGAATGCGGTTTATTGACTCCTCTCTCACTCTCTCCCTATACTAACAAAGTTTATCAAAACGGCAATTCAATGGTACTTCTGAAACCCAAGGAGGTTGATGCCTAAATATATAATATTTATAACATTGATTTTGTCTAATATACACGTATTTCTTACTAGAAAAATGTACCATTGGAGAACTATCGACGCGGTCGCTTCTGACCACTTAAGTTAAATTTGTCAAATTTTCAGTAAAGACAAATACTGATTCACATTGAATTTATGAATATTACAACATGGTTCAATCTATATTAATAAATATTATAAAGAGAAAAACTTACTATTTGTTTGTTTGCATTTATTAGAAAATGCTGGATCGATTTTTAACTTCTTAATCCAACGGTAAGTAAGATCGTACGTATGTGACCTATGCAATAATTTACGCGAGAGAAGTCGCGGGAAAATAGCTAGTAAATTATAATTATGACGTGGAAGCTTAAAATAATTTATAATCTAATACTAAAAAGAATGACAAAGTAGTCGTTGCGTATAAGTTTTTATTTGAATCATTTGGTGTGTATTAGAGACACGACGCGCGCGGTGCCGTGTCAGAACTTTAAAAAATATGCGCGGTCGTGTTGGCGAAAAAATTTCAAAGTTTCTGTAATTCATTGGAAGCACGTCAAAAAAATCCAATATACAACGACAGATAATATTGAAACCTTAATATGCCCAATTTTCGTCGGAATGTCATAAATAAATAAAGATATGTAAATTAGTACATCATTATTAGACCTTTGTGTTATCGTCGTCAACGATTTTGGAAATTCGGCAAGGGAGGCTAGGAGTAGCATTCCAAATGAGATTGTTCCAGTTGAGCGCTACATTATTCTTGTCGAGTTGTGATTGGTGTAGGGTGATGTAGAGTATATAGGAGACATAGGTGTATATTTCGGAATCAGCCTAATCAGCCGAAATAGCTGTAAGGGAACACCGGCGTGGGATAATCCAGATGACTCACTGGGGTTACCGAACTAGGTAAAAATTTGGGGATAGGCGACTATAGGGTTGTCAAACTACGAAAGTACATATCATATTTGAGCCTAGAGAAATAGCTCTTGAAACGACGGTCAAGAAATATACCTTTAAATATCTATGCTACAATATCTTTGGAATGAGTGATTTATGAAAGTTTTTTTTTTGCTTAATTTTAATATACTTATGATATTACAATATGTTAAAATACAAACGTTAAAACAATTTTTATTGAGTTCAAATCAGAAATGTCCAACCATAAGTTTAATAAGCAAACAACACTTTCATAACAAAAATATATATAATAAGATTAATTTGAGTATACAACGAATGAAGGCAACCCTGGGCGAGTAAACACACGCAACCACACCCCCTTGCTCCCTTTGATCGGTAAAACGCGATCTGTTGGGGACTACGAAAAAAAAACAATAATGGAAGTAAACTAATCTCTATATACATTGCGTAGTGCATAAAAACGAAAATAAAAATAGTGGTAACAGAGGCAACAATATAAAATGAACGCGCGGAAAAATTGGATTCGCATCTGCAGGTAAAGCGGTCTGAGTAAACACGCAATATAAGCATAACTTTTGGCGTGGGGTGCAGCTGGACTTATGACACTGTCTGTTGACAATAGTAATCGTATAAAGCCATAAATCCCTCGAAGGGTCAATAGCACGCTTCAGAGTTTATTTTGAAAACAGTCCAACTAAAGGTGGATTAGAAGCATAGATTATGGACAATTTTATAGAACGAGTTTCATGTGTACGTAAAATCATATTAAATCCATAATGGCATAAAGCTGACCGCCACTTTGATAAGTGGTGAATAATGTAATCCTGTTATTTCGAATTATTTTATGACGCACATTTACATTATAAATTTAAGTAATCATAAAAGCTTTATGGTAAAGAATTATTTATGTAAATAAATGTTTAGTTCAGTTAAATACAAAGAAATATGGAATGTTGTAAATTTATTTAAACAGAGCAATTGAGCTGACATTAATATCAGTTGGCTCGAGTCCATAATGAAGTTAAGTCTTTTTAGGTCGGTTTTTTTTTACCATAAAACGCAAGAACATCCGTCAATAGTGACGGATGTTCTTGCGTTTGCGGGAACAGCTTATTGTAGTTTGTATAGACAAACTACAATAAGCTGTTCCCCCGCCCCGTCTCGTTACTATCAATTATACTAACTGTCTTGACGTTTATGACGGTTTATTTTGAGAGTGAACATGTTAGATTAAAACTGACATGTTCAATAGGACATGACAACTAAGTAAACGTTTTATTTTAAACTGGCATGAACGAGATATATTTATTATTATTTTTATAGAAACAGACTTCCGATGTGTACGATTTTTATATAGGTACGCCCATTGCTTCCTTGACGTTCATTGCATTTTCATGCTCGCCTGTTTTTATGGCTTCTGACAATAATCATTTACCAAAATTAACTTTTTCACGTGGAAATAATTAGAAAATATGTAAAATAAATATGAAAAATATGCATCCCGCAACTGGACTTAAATTCAAACAGGGACACATAAAAACGCGTGCTAATATTAGCGCCACGCGTGTACGCATTTCAATTTTGAACGTTTAATCCTCACAACGAGTGCAGTTAAATAACACTCTTATAAATATGAGCCGAAGAACTGTATTCGCATATACAATTGACCGTTTCACTCGGTAAGCGTTTTTTATTGGCGTGTTGCGGTGTCAGTATACAGCGGAGCATCACGTAATCCAGGGAATGTAAATCGCCGCTGGGGGATCGACTAAATGCTTCACGGAACAGTTAGATTGAGTCTGTCCCAAGACAAGATTGATGGACCGGTACCGGGAGATGCATCACACACAATACTACATACACCGATGTTACTAAACACTTTTGTACACTGATTCGAAAAATAATAGGATCTAATAAAAAATAAATACGAGTCCTATTTTACTAAAGTTGATGCCGCGATGTATGAATACATGCAGCATAACAATTATAAAAATAATAATTCATACTTCGACGGAATTAATTTTTAACAGATACATACAGACAGTTTAGTTTGGCTAAAGTGAACAGGTAAAAAATGTGAACACAGACGGCTGAAGGATAAGTGGCATCGTTAACATAATACTTGCATATAATTATATATTATATCGACTACATTATGGCAACGATCATATTAAAGCAGCCAACAATTCGGTGGAAAAGTGAATGTCAATAGCTGTCCACCGCGATCTTCTCCAGAATGCGACAGAAAATTGATTTATCTAGTGTACAACAAAGCACTCACATTGGACATTGATGTAGATGTCCTTGTAGACGTAACCGATGGAGTTGGTGGCGTTGCATCCGTAGTTGCCGGTGTCCTTCTTGATCAGGTTGGGTATGGTGATGCTGTTGGCGGTGACCAGCCGGCGCGGGTTGTACTCGGCTTGCTCGATCGGCTTCCCGTTGTACACCCACGAGATCTGCGGCGTGGGCGTGCCGCCCGCCACGCACCGGATCTCCGCCGTCTCGCCCTCCGCCAGGTTCTGGAACTCCGGCTCTTCGATGAAGAACGGAGACGCTGTACACAAAACGAAACGGTCAACACAAAAGAGTACATTGAGTTGCAGCTATAATTTAGAATCCGTAAATAATTGTTGTGTTGTGACTGGGTCAAAATGGGGCATTTTCGGGGGAATTTGGTTACTTTTCTGTCACAATCAAAACATGAATTTATATAAACAAAAATACATAAATTCAGATATTAATTTTAACAGAACCTTGAAAAGTATAAATATCATTTTTAATTATAGTTTATTTGGAAGTTATTTCTTTCTCAGACATCAATTGAAAGATAGTCATTTTTGATATATAAAGCCGCTTCATTACTAGAAAGGGTGGTTATTTTTATTATTTAATATAAAATACTTAATTATTGACTCGGCGATAAGCTTGGGTAATTATTGAATGAAGTATGTATAATGATAAATTCACTAATAATGAATAATATATTTAATATCATAGTCACGGTAACCTGGTCGTAAAACTACAGGTACAATTAATCTTAATACATGTCGTCCGGGTGTGAATTGATGACATAAAAATTTAAAATTATAGCTATTCATAAGGAGTCAGTGACCCGAGTGGGCGAGCCGGGTGGTAGTACTCGAGCATAAATCGTCTGTCCGCAGAAACCCAACAACGCAGTCTAGGCTCCAATTAGGTCGGATTACACTGAAGAACCCACTGCGTCACAGGTCTCAGTATCACTAAAGAAAAAGTTTTTAAAATAACTTTTTACAGCCATTTTCACTAACCTAGAAAAAGGCATAGCTCAAATAGGAAACGCCTAAGCAGAGTAGTTAAATTTCAAATATTTGTTTTTCCTTTATCCCTTGACATATTTATGATCGGTTATATACACAAATGCCTAGCGAAAGGTGCCGCATAACGAATATCACAACTTTAGACATTACTTATTTAGGTTAGGTGGTTCCTAGTAAATGGTGAAATGCATTTTTACCTCAGGCGTTTCTTAATTATTTAGGTGACAGATTTGGGCTTAGGAGCCGCAGTTCATTGAAAACGGGCATTGGTATTCTAATTAATCTCTCAAAGGAGACATAATTGATCTCAGAACAGTTAATAATTGATTTATTATCGTTAAACAACCGCATTTGCGTCGTCTACTTACATATACTTAAAAGTAAATAAATACTTGTGTAATGCTGGAGGCTTCTTAAACTGTATACTTTCATCATCACGTCTATTTAATGTCCTCACTAATAGTGGTCTTCCCTATTGATGGCATCGAATAAAATAGGAAGAATGGATCATGAACGATCACACCATGGGATTATACAATAATATTTCTCAGTTATGTTGTATATTTTTAATTATAAACCTGCGAGTTCAAATATTTTCCAATATTTTGTCGATACCTGGCGTTATTTATAAGCTTATTTTTGGGACAGAATGTCACTATTTTAAACAAAATTAGTGCCTCGTAAACATTTATTTACTCGTAAGGTGTTTCCATGTAGAATGGTGTGAAAAGTGTTGTGCCACCCTATAATTTTGCATACAGAATTTTAGACGAGCGATAGATTTGTATTGGTCTCGGAAGTTAACGGTGAATACAAGTTTTAGTATTTCAATGATAGCTTTTGATTGTATTGAATATTCTAGGATACTTTTTATAGTGCTATTTAGCTTATAGTTTCATTTGAGATATGTGATAGTGCGGTTTCTAAGTGTTACTATATTAAAATCATCTCTTGTTGAGCTGTTGGTGCTGGTGATTCTTCATAAGTACTATCTATTAAATACTTTCGGTGGAAGATATCATAACCTAACGTTATATTTTTAATACAATATCTATATGATCTGAGTCTGGATTCTCTTGCTATAAGATTTCGTTTAAAGTAAAAAAACTAAATGTTGAGTAAATAACATAGTAAAAAAAGCTCATATTAAAGTTAACTTCAAAGACATGGTTTTGAAATTATAGTTTTTAAATATTGCACACAATTAAAGCGTCTGCTTCAATTGATTCTATACATAATAAAATAGACCCAATTTATTATGCATATCTTTTCCCTCTAACAGATAAATAAATGATGTTTAGAAAAGAGAAACACTATGTATTAAGTTGGTAAGAATTATGTAAATAAATAAATAAACTCGATTTATACGACGCCAGGAATACTTTATTTGGAGAACAATAAAGCAAAGCCACGGCTTGCATTCATCTCATAGCTTTCCACAACTTTTCGGTTCGGTTCGAGTGCTGTGTAGGCCGCTCACCGCCATATTGCACAACTTTTCTTTGTTTATTGTGTCAAGAGCTTTTGCAACTTAAAGCATTATGAAGCACCTCACTTATTTAAAATCAAGACCCTTTAATACTCCATACAATTAGCAACCTGTTAGGAAATACAAATATCCAGATATATCTATGGAAGTTAATAGAAAAATGGGTCACGAAATTAAGTCGTATAATGACCGATAGTGAAGAATGTTTCAATTAGTGTGGGAATTGGGTTAGTGAGTGGCTTGCGTACGTGACAAGTGCAAAATTACGTCACAAACCTGACGACACGTCAAGCGTGACCGGATTATGTTTAATGAAATTCCTGTGTCCCGTGAAACATAAAGAATATATAATATGTACGATAACCGCACTCGGCACGCGCTCAGCTGTTACTTCTCATATTTATTTATTTAATATTCAGGTTACAGAAAACAAATCAGAACAGTGGACTGGAATTAAGATTTCATTTCACACATAAACTTAATCATATAATACAAACACACACAAACAAACATAAACTTACACTCATATACACATACTCATAATCTCATATACATTAACATTTTATACATGCAGTAGTAATAATAAGAATGCATGCTATTTAATTTTAAGTTTGAATTACTTAACTTTGCGAAGTTAGGTCTATATACAATGGAGGTGTGCGTTTGTGACCGCAACGCAAAGCGGCTGCTTTCGTTCACGATATATATAACATGTAACGTTAAAAGTTCCAATAAAAAATATTATTATTATTTATATATTTACAAAACGCACTGCAATGACAATTTTGCGCAACAATGCACAAGATCGAAGTGTAAAAAATTACGAAATAGCACACTAAAATAAAAATAAAAAGAGAACAACAAATTTTAAACTTTGTAGTAACTTTTATAGAAATAATTTAATTTTTTTTCTTGAATGTAATAAAATTCCCTACAGTTTTAAATGTTCTTATGTATTTAATGGCAAATTGTACTCTGAGAAAGACGTTGATTTGTGCTGTCTAAATACAGAAACTCAGATGTTAATTTCATATAAATTCAACACGCAAACTTTAATCATGTGTTAATATTTCATACACTATCGCACTAAGCCTAATCTTATTGAATTTACGAACTACAAAAATTACTGTTAATGAAGTAAACTATGCTAAAATAATGTCCAATTGATCACGATTTACTTTAGCAAATATTTACACGAGTAACGGGGGATGGTGCGAATGGTGCGGGTCGATAGAATGGAACACGATTAGTTAATTCATTTTTAATCTTATTCCAGGTTAAGTTCAATCGTTCTCTTTATAAATATCGAATTAAAACGCGAATTAGGATAATTTAATGAAAAAAGTTAAAAAATAAGCAAAATAATCAAAATTCATAACTTTTTTTATACCCGCTATAACGCTGACTGTCATATTCATGACATGATATGTATGTCGCAGGCAAGTGGTTAAGTTATCCGTCCATATGGTCGGTCACGTAATAGGTTAGAAAATAGGTATTTTTTAACAGACAACAAAAATAAATTAACGTTTTGGCGGCTTTGAAATCACCCTTCTTGTTGAACGGTCCAAATGTCATAATGATTCAACTAGAAAACCAGGCTTGCAGTTGAATGTCGCCAATCAAACAAAGGGCAAGCCACCAAATTGAACGGAATTTCTTTCCAGTTGGCTGCGACATGTAAACAAAAGCGACAAAACAAGAACAGTGCCATCTAACGATCGATTACGAAATAAAAAGATATAAGTAAGCTAAGAACAGCGCCAACTAGGAATTTGATTTATAATTAATGGGCATATCTTTATGACTTATCTGACAGCTGTTTTAAATCACGCACACACGCACACACGCGCACACACACACACACACACAGGTAAAAAATCACGACTTTTTTTAAAATATTAAGATAATCATGCGATTTTAAGACTCATATTAGAATCTCTATGTTTATTACGAAGTAAATGTTTAGTTTTTGTACAATTCCGTGACTAGTTTTCACTACCGAAACTACTCTAATACAATTATCGTAAGATATAGTGTTAACCTCAAAGTTGCAACAATACCACAGTAACACAGCTATTGAAGCCTGCAATATTAAATTGTTACTTATTAAGATCCATAGTAGTTATCTAATAAAAAAATAACAATCTAATAGGTACTTTTATTCTCAATGTCGTGATATGCTATGTAGCATAACTTGGCTATAAAATAACATCCAAAGAAGACAGTGCTACAGAGAGACAACATAGAGAATTTATTGTCATCAAATGAAAAAAAAAATAAACACTCGAACAAAGGTTAAAATATCTTTCAGAATCGACTTTTTAAAGTCAAGTGAACCTTAATAGCGCCATTGTACTGAACAACAGAACAGTGAAATGAAAAGCCGGCACAGAGGCTGCGGAGTACATATTACGTAAAAGGACTTTCAACTTTTAAACGTTTTGTTTGAAACGAACACAGGTTTTCAGCATGGGAACGAAAATATAGGAAGATTTTTATTATATTGTGGTATCTATCTGTACAACTAATCACTTGCAGTGACAAGAAAGGAGTCGTAGATAAAAAAATCATACATTATCCATCATCCATAGATCCATACATTATTCGTAATTCACGGTAAGTTTATCAATAGTAGATTAATGTTTCTCTTTTATGATGCAACTATAAACAGTTTTCGAATTTGTTCCTTTACTTGTGCACAATTTTATGATTGTAGATCAACACATTTTTTTATATTCTTGCAAAATGTCGTTTGATCGCATA